AAAAAAAAAAAAAAGTCTCTCAGACTGCCCTGCTCAGGCTGGCTTTGAACCACGATCCTCAGATCTCAGCCTCCTGAGTAGCTAGGATTACAGGCATGAGCCACCCGCACTCGGCAGGAACTGATAATCTTATTTCAAAATCACCTTGTATAAATACATTTTACTCTATTCAAACTAGCCAGTCGAGTCAATTGTGAACCTGAGCTCAACCAATCTAAGCAGAGGGGCAGGACCTGATGCATTAGCAATAAATATTGGCGCAGACTGCATGTTTGCTTGCCAGATTTTTGGCTAATGGCACACCTTGCTGTGCAGAAATAAATTTTGCCTTGTTGAGACAGTTCTTTACTTTCATGTCTATTGTTGTGACTCCACTGGTTCTTGGAGAGCATATATATACATATAACAATTACTTAAGGGGAGCAATCTTGGTCTCATGAGATGATTTTCCAGGATGCAGCCTCATCATGATAAGAAATTGACCTCATTCTGGGGTGAATTGTCCTTCAAGGTTCTCTGGTTACTTTGAGGTAATTTAATTCCTTTTTTATAATGATGTTATCCTCAGGCCTACCTTTACTGGAATCCAAAGTGATTGCCAAGAGACTATAAAGAGAACAACTAAAGCAAACACAAAATAGAGACAGAGATGTCAGGTTTTCCCGCTTTTAGTTAATTTTGGTCAGTAAAAACAGTTTTGAGTACCTATTACAAATAAACTTTTTTTTTTCTTGTTGTTGGTCATGGGGCTTGAACTTGGCCTGGGCTCTGTCTCTCAGATCTTCAGCTCAAGGCAAGTACTCTACCACTTGAACCACAGGGCCACTTTCAGTTTTCTGGTGATTTATTGGAGATGAGTCTCACTTTCCTGCCCAGGCTGGCTTTGAACCGCCATCCTCAGATCTCAGCCTCCTGCATAGCTAGAATTACGAGTGAGCCACCTGCACCTGGCACAAACACACTTTCAATGGTTTGTGTCTGTGATAACATTATTAGCCTTTGGAGTTTGAGTACTTACTGAAGTTGCCTATGAGAAATCTCTATCCTTCTGTTCAGTCTACAAGGTTGAGGTTTCCTGTGAATCTGAAAGTTTTAATTACAGTACAGTAGGTTTTCTTAAAGAGTTTATGATTCTATCCTCCATTTTAATTGTTCTTTGAAATTTCCCCCATCATTTAGGACTAGCTGATATCTATCACTGGGGTTTGTACTGGAGGCCTTGTTGTTAGGTCTGTCCTGGAGAACAGTACCTCCCCCTTCCTCTTGTGAAAGACCTCACATAGCCTTACCAGAAATCACCTGCCTAAAACCTGTAATCAACTGACTGTAGATCTCCTGATTGTGATCTCAGGTTCTGAGGTTACTTCCTGAACTGCCCTGGTCACACCTTCTTCAGACAGTAAGAGGTTCCCCAGGCTCTGAGGATCACTTCCATATCTGCTGTGGTCACACCTCCCCCATTTTCCTATAAAATCCCCGCTTACCTAGTCCCTCCCTCTTATCTCTCTTCATGCCTCCACCTTTTTCTCTCTTCCTCCCTCTTCTCTCTCCACATGCCTCCTTCTCTTATGGGCCAGCAGTTTGTTCTTCCCCCCAATTAACTCTTGTCTGCCTGAACCTTGCACTTGTGAGATGTTTTACCACTTGAATTACATGCTCGAACCTTTTTGTTTTTATTTTATTTTTAAGATAAGGTCTCACTTTTGCCTTGGCTAGCTTTGGACTGAGCCCCATGAACTGGGATTATTGGCACACATCGCCATTTCTGTCTTGTCTATGGTAGTCAGAAAGAAGTAGGGAAAAGCGTTAAGATTAAAACCCTGCCTGTCTCTAGACTAAAAACCTAGAATATATGTGCAATTTAGCAAAAGTGTTGCTTTAGTAAACTCTTTTTCTTTCTTTTCTTTCCTTCTTTCTTTCTTTCTTTTTTTTTTGGCCATTCCTGGGGCTTGAACTCAGGGTCTGGGCACTGTCCCTGAGCTTCTTTTGCTCAAGGATTGCACTCTACCACTTGAGCCACAGCACCACTTCTGGCTTTTTCTGTTTTTATGGTACTGAGGAATCAAACCCAGGGCTTCATGAATGCTAAGCAAGCACTCTACCACTAAGCCACATTCCTAGCCCAGTAAATTATTTCCTTAGGTACCTAATGATACTCGTTATAAATTGCCAGAGGGTTTCCAAGGATTATACCAGTGGTTAATCTGACAGTTCTCTCTCTCTCTCAATTTCTCTCTCTCAAGCTCTCTCTCTCTCTCCCCACCCCCACCTCTATCTGTGCCAGTCCTGGGGCTTGAACTCAGGGCCTGGTTGCCTGGTTGCTGTCTCTGAGCTTTTTTGCTCAAGGCTAATACTCTACCACTTGAGCCTCAACTCCATTTCTAGCTTCTTTTGGCAAATAATTGGAGATAAGAGTCTCATAGGCTTTCCTACTTAGGCTGGCTTTGAACTGCAATTCTGGGATCTCAGCCTCCTTAGTAACTAGCATTAGAAGTATGAGCCATTGTCACCTGCCAAGTACACTGTCTCTTTTATAGCAGAGTTTAATGTAGTATTCCTCACAATAACTATTACTTTCTTAACATATTAAAACAATTACTGTATCTCATCCTTCTTAATTGGTCCCTAACACAGACTTCAGTTTGAAAATATTTTAGGAAAATCAGTGTCATGTCTCATTTAAATACTATAATTATTTCACTTTTAGAAAGTAACTAAAATTTAACATTTTTCATTGAAAACAGTTTCAAGACTGATGATATAGCTTAGTGATATATTACTTGCCTAGTTTTTTTTTGTCTGTCCTGGGGCTTGAACTCAGGGCCTGGGCACTGACCCTTGAGTTTCTTTTGCTCAATGCTAGCACTTTATCACTTGAGCCATAGCTCTATTTCTGGCTCTCTCTGTTTGTGGTACTGAGGAATCAAACCCAGGGCTTCATGCATGCTAGGCAAGCACTCTACCACTAAGCCACTTTCCCAGCCCTTGCCTAGTATGTTTGAGGGCCTCGGTTTGAATCCCAGAACTGCAAAAGAAGCAGAAGAGGAAGAAGGAGAAATCACAATTCTATAAACAATATTGCAAAAAGAAAAACAATTGTCATTTTTTCCTCACTTGTTAAAACTTGCCATAATGGACATTTAGTTTGTATGTTATGTTGATAATAGCAGCATTTGAAGTGCCTCTAATTTGGAGTCATTTTTTGCTGAAACCTGTCTGTGAGAAAATTGCTGATAGCAAGCTTACTGTTATTGACAATCTAAGTACTAAGCTAAAATCATCCTCTTATTTTCTATCAATTTTCTCACATTCTTAGTTGGCTTTCTCTTGTACTGTTCTTGTCGCTCAGAGTATTTTAAATGGAATAGGAGAAACATACTTCTCAATGTGTCATCAATAGATTTTGGAGAAAAGAATTAGAGTAGAAAATTTCTGTTTCTAGGTCATTAGTGAAATTCAAAATCCAAGGCTATCGCTAATTCTAATTACCATGGGTAACCAAGAAAGGCCAGGCTAGTTTACAGTACTGACACATGGTTATTACTCTAAAGCAATCTAATTATGTGTGTGACTATAATAACAGCCAGCTTTTTATTTCTTCAAAATGAATCAAAATGGGCTAATTATCAGATTTGTAAATCAAGGATTCAAATCATGAAAGATTAGTGTACTCAAATATGTATGAATGTATGTATATATGTTTATACATACTTCTAGATCTATCTCTCTCTCTCTCTCTCTCTATATATATATATATATAGAGAGAGAGAGAGAGAGAGAGAGAGATACACACAGAGATAGAGACAGACACAGAGAGAGAATCTTTCTGTGGCTAGCTTCAAACTCAAGATCCTCCTGTCTTAACCTCTGAAGTGCTGGGTTTACAGGTGCACCTTACCACATCTAGCAGACTTGTATATTTTAATCAGATTAATCAGTTCCAGTTTTGAGTGTCATCATGGAGAATTAGAACTGATTGAAAATTAAATTGTAGTTGGAGTAAAGGGATAAGTCTTTCCCCAACAGGTGGTGCTAGCTGTCCTCTAATGAGCTGCCCTGGGTTTACCCTTTCTTCACACGTTCCATGACACTGAAGATAAAGAGTGATGTAGGGATTTGTATGGAATATATTCAGTGCTGGCTGAACAGAACGTTCTATGATAAAAGTGTTCTATGTCTTCACTGTCCAATTCTGCACTCACCTGATAGGACCACTGAAAAATGTAAAGTCAAATTTTAAATGCTATTTGCTACCCAAGCCACATTTGAAGTACATTTGTAGTATGCACATTTGGCTCAATACAGCTCAGTTTTCTGGAAATCCAGGGGACAGAAGAACACATTAATGAGCACCACAAGGAAGCAATTAGCAATCATCCATTAGCCAAGGACAAGTACACAGAGTATTCAATGAAGACATTCAAGAAAAATATAAAAAGGAGGGAAACAAAGGAGGAGGCAACAATGCTTGATAGGAAATGTATTCATTACCTTACTCATGTAACCACTCTGAACAGTATTGTTACAATAAAAAAAAATATTAAAATTTTAAAAAAGGGAGGGAAAGTGGTTATGAGCACTGTTGGAAGATGGAGTTGGGGGTTGAGAGGGGAAAAACTGGGAGAAAATGAGGGAGGAGGTGACACTGTTCAAAAAGACATGTACTCATTACCTGACATGTAACTGTACCCCTCTGTACAACACCTTTACAATGATTTTTTTTTTTGGTTGGTCGTGGGGCCTGAACTCTAGGCCTGGGCATGTCCCTGAGCTCTTCAGCTCAAGGCTAGTTCTCTACCACTTAAGCCCACAGCACCACTTCTGGCTTTTTCTGCTTATGTGGTGCCGAAGAATTGAACCCAGGGCCTCATGCATGCAAGGCAAGCACTCTACCACTGAGCCACCTTCCCAACCCTACAATGATTTTTTTTTTAAAGATGTAATGGTCTCTCATTCTGTGGTCCAGGACTCCTTGATATGCATCATGGGGCCTTTCCTGTAGAGCCACTGGCATATGAGGAGGAGTAAGGTGGGTGTGGGAAGCAGGAGGTTGTGAAGGATAATGGGAAGCAAGAGGGCTGGGCTCATGTCCCACCATGTATGTCTGTACATCCTCATTATTCTCAGATCATTTTTTTAAAGAGATAGATCAAGGTGCATGAATCCTAAACATGTATTAAGCAAAAGAAGTGAGATGCAATAGAATATTTTCTGTTAAATTCTATTTGGGGAGGTTTGAAGCTAGCCTTAGTGGGAAAGTCCATGAGACTCTTATCTCCAATTAACCACCTGAAAACTAGAAGTGGCATTATGGCTCAAAGTGGTAGAGCGCTAGGCTTAAGCAAAAAAGCTCAAGAATAGTGCCCAGGCCCTGAGTTCAAAACCGACAACCACTACCACTAACAACAAAAACTCTATTTGGTGGGTTAGTCTTTGTATGTAGTGTGTGTGTGTGTGTGTGAGCTCTAGTACTGTGTCTTGAACTCAGGGCCTAGCTGTTGTTTCTTAGGGTTTTTTTGTTTGTTTGTTTTGTTCAAGGCTGATGTTCTTCCACTTGAGCCACAGCTCCACTTCTAGCTTCTGGTGATTAATTGGAAATAATTTTATGGACTATCCTGTCTGAACTGTCTTGGAACATCGATCCCCAGATCTCAGCCTCCTGAGTAGCTAGGATTACAGGCATAAGCCACCATTATCTGGCTGTAACTCTACTTGTAAGAAGTTCAGGAAGCAAGATAATGTGTGTAAATAGAATTCAATGTAGTGTTTGTTTTGGGGAAGTACAGATTGGTAGGAGGAACTTTCTAAGATGAAACTACTACACTTAGATTGAAGTATTGACTACACAGGTGACTATCTTTGTCAAAAATTAATCAGATTGTACACTTAGAATATATTATTTCCCAGGGTGTACATTTTTTCCTTAAAATGCTTCAGTTTTTAAAAATTAAGGTTTGGTGCAGAGGATCACCAGAAAGTAACAACAATAAGTTCTTTAAAATTTAATCTCTCCTTTCAACCAGCTGTATTAGTATACTAGCCAGTGTGAGATGATTATAGACATAATGGAGTAGTATCCTTTGCTGTGGGCTGGTGGAAGCAGAGCTACCGGGCGCAACTCTTACAGTGAGCTTCAGACTGCAATAAGAGAAGCTAAAAGACATACTTCTGTCCATTTGTCCAGACAGTGACTTCATGTGAAATGGAAAATGCCCTTTCATAAACTCTGGTTCTACCAATTGAAAAGAAATGTTAAGCCATCAGCAAGCATGGCACTATTCTAATTGCTGCATTTTGTCTTTAGTACCTGATAGAATTCTTGGATAGAATGTGTGAGTCTCTAAGTCCAAAATCTCACTACTGAGAAAAAAAAAACGAAACAAAAGTAGAAATGCTGGGGACTGTAGCTCATGGTAAAGTCTTGGATTACATTCTAGCAAAACACATACATGCGCGCGCGCGCGCGCACACACACACACACACACACACACACACACACATAGAGCATGTTTTTGGTTTCATGGTTTTGGTTTTCTGCATTGAGACAGGGTCTTACCATGAGGCCTAGGCTGATCTCAAACCTTCTATCTGTTGTCTCATCCTTCTGGGAATACAAGCATGTCTCACCATGCCTATTCATAGGTTAAAGTCATAACTCCCCATGTGACAGTATTTTGAAGGAGGTATTAAGGTTAAATGAGGTAATGGGGTTGGCTCCAGCTGGATTGGATGCATGAGAGACTGGAGGAGAGAGCAGATGATGCAGTTGTTAAATAGAGAAGGACTTTGGGAGATAGTGAAATGTATGAATCGTGTTAAGGAAACTTTACAATGCTGATTATAACCATCTCTTCGTTTCCCTTCAAAGCACTGAGGAAAATCTATAATAACCATCAGTGGTTTGAATCTAATGCATCAAGTCTGACTTACAAATGAAAATGGAATAAGACAGACACTGGAAAAGGAATCCAACTATGCACAGATGATACTTCTTCCATACATGTGAGCAAAGAGAGAGGAGGGAGGAGAGAGAACCTGGAGACACATACACCAAAATGTTAATTTTTGTCATTCACTAGTAACAGTAATAGGGATGAGATCATAAATAATAATTTTCAAATGATTTTTGTACTTTGTTGGCTTTTTCAGTTTTTATGGTGACATTATTTAAAAATATTGAAAGTCTTAGTAATGACAGATTATTGTTACTTTTGTGTGCTGCAGTTTGAACATGAGATCATGCAGGCTAGGCTAGTGTGCAGCTGATTTGTGTGTGTGTGCATGTGCACGTGCATGTGTGTGCGTGCGTGAGTACATGTGCGCATGCACGTACTGGTCTAAGGCTTGAACCGTGGGCCTGGGCACTATTCCTGAACTTTTTCTTCTCAAGGCTCTATCACTGGAGCCACAGCTCCACTCCCAGCTTTTTAGTGGTTAATTATAGATAAGAGTCTTATGGACATTACTACCTGGGTTGGCTTCAAACCATGACCTCAGATCTCAGCCTCCTGAGTAGCCAGGATTATAGTTGTGAGCCACTAGCACCCAGCAGTGCAGCTGATATTTTTGAGTACATGTATGATTGTATACTAGGTACCCTTCTAACTGATTACATGTATAGTTTTCCCTTATCTAAAATTTGTTTTCCATGGTTTCACTTACCTGAACAGTATAAAAATAGTAAATTGAAAATTCCAAAAATAAACAAGTTTTAATATAGTACAATATATAGTATATTGTTATGGTTATTCTATTTTTATCATTGATAATTTCTTAGTATGTGTTAAACTTTACCCTAGGTACTTATATACATGTTACTAAACTCAAGTTTGTTACTCAAAAAGGAAAATAGCTTGCCAGGTTCAGTGGTACATGCCTGTAACCTCAGCTGCTTGGGAAACTATTGGTAGAATGATCTTGGGCACCTTTGGAACATTGTATTTTCCTAATAGGTTTTCTAAGAAATTTCTGGTTTGCTCCCCACTTCATCTTTTATGATACTTCTCATTACTAGATCTTTACTTATTAGTTTTTAGACCACAAACAACTCTTTCTACCATCTTTTACAAAAATTTCTTTCCATACAGTGTTTTAAAGATTTTAAGCATCCTGTGATCATCTACTTACATCATTCATTTCTGCTAGCAGTTTTGAAATACATCCCACCAAAAGTTAGGGAAGTGAATCTTTAGTAAAAATAATTATTGCTTTTGTTTGTTTTATGCCAGCCCTATGACTTGAACTCAAGGCCTGGGTGTTGTCTTTGAGCTTTTTTTTTTTTTTTTGGTCGGTTGTGGGGCCTGAACTCTGGACCTGGGCACTGTCCCTCAGTTCTTCAGCTCAAGGCTAGCGCTCTACCACTTGAACCACAGTACCACTTCTGGCTTTTTCTGCTTATGTGGTGCTGAGGAATCGAACCCAGGGCCTCATGCATGCAAGGCCAGCACTCTTCCACTGTGCCACTGTCCCAGCTCTGTCATTGAGCTTTTTTGCTCAAGGCTTGTCATCTACCACTTAAGCCATAGCTCCACTTTCAGCTTTTTTTGGTACTTAATGGGAGATAAGCGTCTCATGGACTTTCTTGCTTGACTGGCTTTGAACCACAATCCTTAGATCTCAGCCTCCTGAGTAGCTACTATTGCAGGTGTGAGCCACTGGTACCCAGCTTAGTAAATATAATTATTAACCATGGAGTACACGAAGTCAAGATGCAAGCATGGCTTAATAGATCAACATCGGGATCTCTCAAAGCACCCTCAAGTAGTACTCTGATCTCAAGCTGTAGATTCTAGGCCAATAGAAGTGGTACAGCAATAAAAATTCTCCACCCATTTCTCTGAATCACAACTTTGGAGGAAGAATTTCTTATCCCTTACAAGCTGCAATGTGTATACCCCCTGTAGGGTTGTGTACAGGCCATGAGCAATCAGGGCATCAGACAAGCTTGTGTGTCCTCATTTCCAGGAATGACTGTAGAGAACAGAGCAGCTAATCTTACTGGCAAAATGGAAGGAAGCCAAAGGGAGCTGCAAGTCACCAAGCACCAGGACATTCAATGCTTTAAAATAGCTGCTTTCACTTTATGGGTCATTTGAGAAAATCAAAACAGGACTTAAAAACAAGTTGTAATAGAACGTTACCCAATGCACACAAGGATCTGCCACCGTTTTGCTTAATGTTTTTATTTTTTTTCCATGTTTACTTCTGAAACTTTAAATCCTTTCTCCCAAGTCATTCATGCCCTTAATGATTTAATTTTCTTCTAGGTACAATCACTATGCATAGGGTAGCTCACTAGTCTCTTCGTGAATAGCTGTGTCCACCTCCCCATCATATGGCCTATCTAAGTACACTTTGCTTTTCATTCTCCCATCACTCCTATTTACTTTAATGGCTTCTCCATCCACTCAACTGTTAACAATAAAACCCCAGTTATGTTTCCTCCTTTATCTCTGCTGTGCTACTCTCCCCATACACAAACATTCAATCAAGCATCAAATCAAGTTACTTGGGCTAAGGAATGTTTCAAGAATTCTTGGACTTTACAAAAGTCCCTTCTGTTTCTGTTAGTTGGTAACAATATAAATAGTAGCAGTATGCAATATTTATCTGTCCCTTTCCGTTCTTTATTACTGCCCCCACGGAAATAATATGGGCTCCATTGATGTCAGCAGGCAGAACTACAGCAGTAAAATGTATTTTAGATGAATGATTATTGCAGATTCTGCTGTGACTAGATTTACTATAGATACATTTGTGGGTTTAGATATCTATTTACACAAGTAATAACGTATGATGGCTACACTTCTCCTGTATAACACCAAGTCCACCATTTACTAACTGTGTAATCCTGGGCACTCTGTGAACTGAAGGTAAATAATCCCATTAACAACCTCATAGGTAAGGATGAGAGTTGGATATGTTAATACATGAAAAGCACTTGGAATAGTGCCTAGTGTACAGCTCTGTAAATGTCATTTGGTTTTACTCTATGAGAGCTGTGGTTTTTAGCCAATTCACTCATAGATACAGGGAGGGTTTTGTGAGAGTAATATTAAGTACAGCTGAGTGGGCCCAGGAATTAATATCATATTTATATTATGTCTGGAGGGTAGAGTTTCAAATAACGTGTTCACTGAGAAAGGCAATATTTTCAAGTTAGAATGTTCCATTTACATATAACATATAAAGTAATAAGAATAGAAGTTTATAGTCTTCCTGCATGTTAGCTTCCTTTACACTTTTTTTCAAAAGATGTATCTGACTTTTTTACATGAATATATCTTGTCTTACTCAATCCAGTTGTGGCAAATTAAGGAAGGAGATGGAAGGGTAGAAAGAGCTGAAGCTTTCAATATGTAGAAACCTTAGAATAGAAACCCCAAAAATGTTAGCACTAGTAGCATCGAAAATAGTTTTTCAGACATTCTGCCTAACTCTGGATAAAAACAAGAGTATGATATCTTCAATTTCTTCATTGGGTAATTTAAAGCCTGGTTATAATGTGAACATTAGCTGTATATATCACGTTACTTGAGTTCAGCATCGATTACAATCTAAATAAAACTAGTCATGTTTTCTTTTGAAACTACTATTCAAAATAACTTCATCTATGAAGTTAATATTAATATAAATATTTTGCTTAACTCTTTGGTTTGCTATATTTTGTGTTTTAAGTTTTTTTAATTTTTATTTTATTTGAAACAAGGTGTGGCTGTGTAGACCAGTTCTGGCCTCATACTAAAAATTCTCCTGTCTCAGACTTCTAAATGGTTTTGGATGTGTGTGTGTGTTTGTGTGTGTGTGTGTGTGTGTGTGTACTGGGGCTTGAACTCAGGGCCTAAGCTCTGTCCCTTAGCTTTGCTAGCTCAAGACTGGCACTCTGCCACTAGAGCTATAACTCTATCTCTGGAGAGAAGAGTCTGATAGTCTTTCTTGCCTGGGCCGGCTTCAAACCTTTAATCCTCAGATCTCAGCCTCCTGAGAAGCTAAGATTATTGTGTGAGCCACAGGCTCCCAGCTAAGTGGCTTTCGAGAATTAGGCACCAGAAAACCGGAAGTAGTGCCATGACTCAGAGTGGTAGAGCACGAGCCTTGAGCAATACTCTATTCAGATGGACCATAACATAGTATCTAATGCATACGGAGAGCATGCTATAGAACCCAGGTGACATTCTAAGACGTTGATTTTTATGTGAAAAGAAAAACAAAATGCATAGAATTGTGGCAGCTTTTACATAATACATCAGAAGGAAAAAGTAGGGCAGCACTGAATACTTGCGTGTATTTGGGCGAATAGGCCAGTGTTTTTGGTTCACGATGTAGATTGACACTATCTTTTAGGAACTAAAACCTTTTCACTTTTTTACTTCTTTTTCTAGAAAAAAAATCAGTCATAAGGTATTTTTCAGAGTTATTCGTTTCGGCTGCTTTGGGAAATAAACAATACGGGAAAGTTAATAGTCTTCGGAGCACGCACACGCATCCATCCAATCCCCAGGCTCGTCCCACGCCCCGCCCCGCCAGCTTCGGAGTACTACTCGCGGAGCTGTGGGCGCCCGGCCTGGGGAGGAGCCCGGGGCCTGGGGAGGAGCCCGGGGCCTGGGGAGGAGCCCGGGGCCTGGGGAGGAGCCCGGGGCCTGGGGAGGAGCCCGGGGCCTGGGGAGGAG